ATAACAGAAAAATCTGATAGTTTTTCAACGAAGGACAGAGAAAAGTGAAAAAAAAAATGTCGCTATTAAATTGGAAATACCACTTATTAGCAAATAATTTTGCAGTAGGACTGCTGTAGGTAAAGTGTTTTCTTTTTCCTTTTCTTTTTTAATTCTAGTGAAGACTTTGAGCCTAGAAACAATTTCAAAAGAATTCTAGAATGCTCTTTAAAAGTTTGTTTTTCCCCCTTCAGAGGACAGTATGCAAAAGTCTAAGAAAGCACCTTGATCAATGGAGTTTTGTACCATCATAGTAATCATTACTATCAGCAAGATGGCGATGATGCTACAGACATTCATAGCTGGTTTGTTAAGAGCCTCCTATGGGGAAGGCAGTGCACTTGCTGCTTTACACAGACATCTCATCCCAGGTAAAATTTTCAGCTCGTCAGTGATTTAAAATATGTGACTTAGCAAAAGTGCTACCAAGCACATTTTCTCATGAGAAATTAAATAAAATGCATGGGAAGAGCTATGAGGAAGAAATTACTGACCCCCTTGGCAGTCATTAAATAGGACTGACCGTTATTAAAGATGGTGTCATTGACCACTGGGTCTCTTCTATTTCATTTCTTTGGGCTCGACTCTCTGTGAGTCCACTAGTCCTTGAACTCCACTCGTGATTTTCTGTACATCATTATTCAAAGTTGCTGAGGATGCCACCAAGTGCAAGTGCACTTGAAACATTTTATGTTGGTAATTTCCAACGACTCTTTTTCAATATTTAAAAGCCTTCAAACAGCACAGGACATGAGAAGAATAGGTCTAATAATGTCTAAGTTAGAAATAAACAGGGAGGGATACAAGAGAATCCACTCTTACTTCACACTGTTAGTGTTTTTTTTTCCCACATCAAGGTCGAAGTGGCCTATTGCCTGCAGGGAAATTTACCTGATCAGAGTGAAATAGACATGAACAGAAAGACCAGTATTTCTAAAACTACTAAGATATTTAGAATTAATAACCATCTATTTTTGACGAGTAAATATGCAGAATTTCTTTTCTCTAATTCTCCAATTAGTGAAAATTCACAAATGGATAAGAATGACTGATAGTCTATTTTTTCTCTATTTTGACTCGTAATATTAAATACATTTGCTCCTCTCTTTCTTTTGGGACTGTTGACCTATAACGTCTGTGGTTTTTGTTTCAGAAAGGCCTAATCTGGATATATATTAACAGACGGTATTGATGGATGAGAGAACACAATTCTCAAAAATCACGTTTGACCTATATGCAAGGCTCACAAAACCAGAGTAAGATTTGCTACAGGGATGGGGCCGCAGGCATTAGTGGCGGTCACATCAGGCTGCCTTGACTACATGATGTGATTTCGAGGATACTGAAAAAGTTCTTTTGCCGAAATTGGTCCCTGCTGCACCTCAAATGCCCACCATTAAAGTCATTCATTTGAGTTAAGAAAATTGCCAGTAAGACCTCTATTAAAATGCAAATGTGTTCCCAGGGTGGGGAAACACATTAAATCATTATCAGCCATTAACACTTTAGACCAAATTAGTTTCAGATTTATTAGCCAATTATTCAAAGTACAGAAGGAATGCCACACAGGAGAGGTTCGTTTAAGCTGGTTTGGAGAGAACCAGGAGACTGAAAGAACCATCCAGTGAGGTCTTCCCATGGCTTTCAATCTTTTCATTATTCAGTAGTTTTTGAAAAAAAATTACATGATATGTAAAATTCTCACATAAAAATATTTAAGAAAGTAGAACTTCTCCTCACAAAACAGAGGTCAAGGCCCAGAGTTTTAAGGGCTCACCTCCTTCCCACCCCTCCCACCATGTACCTCCAACATGGTTCCTGAGGACACACCAAAGAACTGAGAGTTCTGAGAAGCATAGTTGGAAAACCATTATATTAGGGTGTTTATTCTCATTTTCATGCTTTCCTCTGTCCTATTTTCCCCGTACTATATTGAAGTGGAGTAGACTCCACAAGTGTCAGTATAAGTAGACCCTTGGAAAACTGGCTTCTAAGGAGGCACTGTGTGTTCCTTAGCAAACACCAAGCTCTAGGTCGAATACGTTGAATGGCTGCTCTGTCGTTCCGTTACATGCCTGAGAGCGAGGAAAAACATCTATGCATCGTAAATGAATGTATATAGCCTATTTTGTCTTCAAGACCTTCTTTGATATTTATTTCAAGCCTAACCAAATGGAGAAGGTGGTGTTTCCAAATGCTTCAAATTTCTGAAGGTGAGTCTTTGTCCCCAGAACTGTTCTAAGGAGAAAGGAGAGATGCAAAAGAAGCTCCAAGTGGACACTTGAGCAAGTCCCCCTTGACTGACTTTGACACCCTGCTAATGTCTACATTACTCAGTCAACTCACACGAGATTGGGATCCTTGGGTTGTAGAGAGTGTGATCTTCAGGATCAAGGAGAATCATTCTATCATAAAGTGGGTAGCCAACCAATATTTGATTAATTTCTGTGTTCAAACAGTCTTTGGAAAGGAGATCTAGATCATTCTTACACTGCCAAAGTCTGGGGGTGGAGGATAGGAAGCAAGCAAGTAAGTAAATATCACAGATACATACAGACATACATAGGTAGGGAAAGAAAATGTGCAGAGAATGAAAGAAAAAAATATAAATCCAGAAAAGAGAAATGGAAATTCTAAGTCAAAGTACTTAGGTACTTTCATATACATCTTCTTATAATTTAATTCCATATAATTTTAACATTATAAGCATAATGGTTATGTTATCCAGGAAACTGTTATTTGAATAAGTCCAGCTAAATGATCCAAAGTTACTCTAATCTTCAAATCACTTAAAGTTCAGTTCCAAAAGCTAATAAGACAAATATAACTGCAAGCTAACCATGCCTTAGTCATTTTATTATTTTATAGAAAACAAAAGGAAATGTGATATACGTCTAAGTGTTTTCAGGGATTTGAGTTCATAAGCTAAACTGGGTTAGTTGTGACAAAAATATTGAGCTAATTAATGACAGCTTCACATTATTTCTGGTTATTTACACAAAGTACTTCACAAATTCACAAAGTAATGCCTAACTGAAAAACAATGCTAAAAATTGAATACATAGAAATTTAAAACAAATACCTTTGTTCTCCTCTCTTTTCTATTTGCTCACATTCCCTTGATAATCTCATCTGGTTTCATGGCTTTAAATATTACATATAAACTGATAATCCCTAAATTTATGTCTCCAGCCCAGACCTCTCCCTTCGATTAGAGCCTTCTATATCCAGGTGTCTACTCTACATTTCCATGTGCATGCCTCACAGGCATCTGAAACTTAACATGCACAAAGATGAACTCCTGATAGTTTTCTTTTCAAAATTATTTTTTCCTCCAGATTTATCTTAGTTATTGCAACTTTATCCTTCTGGAGGCTCAGTTCAACCACCATAGTATCATCCTTAGCACCACTCTTTCTCTCACACGTATCCAATCTGTCAACACATCCTATTGCTTCTACCTTCAAAAGGAGCACATCCAACCTTCTCCAGTACTACTTACCAGGCAAAGCCACTGGGAATGTTGCTTGGATTATGGTGGTAGCTTCCTAAAGGGCATCCCTGTTTCTGCCCTTGTCTCTAGAGAGTCTATTCTTGACATCCTAAGTAAAATCATCTTGTAAATCATCCTTGTAAAATGTAGAGCAGGTCGGGTGTCTCCTCTGCTTAAATCTCACCAGTGACCCTAAGAGCAGAGGCTGGAGTATATTAAAAGCTGACAAACGGATGGAGTAGCTAGCAGAGAAATGGGAGTTGTATTGAGCATGGGGGTCTGTGAATGTTAAGCATGGAGCACCACGGAGTTCTGAGATAAACTATGACAAGTCACACCCAGTTCAAATTTTGGCCATACATACCACCAGAGCAAGATACTATCAAGTAGTGAGGGCTTTTCTACAGAACAGGAGACAATTTGCAGAGATTCCTTATATGCTTACACCGCTTCGCATCATCAAATTATGTAAGTATATATCTGTCTCCCTCTGCACCCAGAGGGAGCAGTAGTGGGGCAGGTCATCTGACTGAACAAGCATTGATTTTTCTTTTTCAAAGAATCTCAAGTTACTAAGTAACTAAATCTCAAGTTACTAACCATTGGAATAGACTATGCTTAAAATGTTTTAGATATTTAAAAATACTTATTATTATTTTACTATTGACTACTGAGCATTTAGAAGGAAGACAATATAAGCTATATAAAAATAAATTACATTTTTCACATTTATTCATGTTAAAATGTAAGTTAAATATCATTAAATACCCAACATAATGTCCCATTGATCAATAAAACTCAATACTTTTGTTTTATCCTCACTTAATGATTTAATAATGTCAAGACTCCAATGATATAAAAATGCCCATAATATAAATATCAATTGAATATAAAAAGCAAAAGTTTGGAAAATGTATATGTGATATGTATATGTGACATCATATGTATGATATATATGTGTGTTTGTGTACATATACATGATTTTTAAAAATTATATTCATTATATAGTAGGCAGCTAAAAATTATGATGGTTTTGGTCAGATCAACATAGTCTAGAAAATTAAATGAGAATATTTAAAATTATCAGTGTTTAAGAGAAAAATTACTCTGTATGGGGCCATATTAAAAGACAATTCAAGTTATTATCTGTTTACAGTTATGAATTTTTATAATAAATAATTTCTTTCAATTGATTATGCCTTTTTTAATGCAGAGTGATATGAATCATGAAATAAAAGTTCTGGCACAGATTTACAGAATTATTTCAGTTATACATTTAAGACAAAAGTGTAAATTTTATTATCAACACAGAACTATTCAAAACATATTTAATAACTCACTAGAACTTAATATTACCTAATTTTAAAAGTTTCTAAAAATTGACATAAAGGTAAATATTCACTCCCTAGTTTTTTTTTCAAAGTTATCTTATTTAGCTTTTAATAATGGGTTACTTAACATTTATCTATAATTTTTTCCATTGAATGGCATACTTCTTAATTAATATGAGTCCCACAAAAAAAAAAAACAAAAAAATCCTTTAGATAGATCAGGGTTATGGTTCTAAAAATTAGAAAAAAGCCATTGAAAAAATTATAAATTCTTTATGTACCAATTTAGTATACCTATAATTCTTAGCAATAACTTTGAAAATGTTTATAATAATAATTGATAGGAATATTAGAGTCTTCCATCGTCTACTCCCCACAAATACCCCTCTCCCTCTCACACCTGCTCCTGTCAGGAAGATCAAAGACCAGCCGGTGGTGACCGGTTTGGGGAGTCATTTCATCAACCCAAATGCTTTGTGCTGACTTTATTATGCTATGTAAATAGCATATCAACCCGGTGTTCTCTGCTCTTTCTGCCTCACCTTGCACTTCTTGTCTCTTTCATTCCTTTTTCACAAATATGACAATATGTCTTGCAATAGACTGAATGTTTGTTCCCTCCTCAAAATTTATAGGTTGAATCCCAACACCCATTGAGATGGTGTTAGCATGTTGGGCCTCTGGGAGGTGATTAGATCATGAGGGTGGAGCCCTCATGAATGAGATTAGTACTCCTTATAAAAGACACTCCACAGAGCTCCCACTCCTTTCCACCATTTGAAGACACAGCAAAAAGACACTCATCTATGAATCAGGAAGCATTCACCAGACATCTGCCAGCACTTTGATCTTGGACTTCCCAGCCTGCAGAACTATGAGAAATTTATGTTGATTGTAAGCCACCCAGTCTATAGTACTTTTGTTATAGCAGCCCACACTGATGAAGACACTCTCCTTTGCTTTTTCACCTCCCCGCCCACCTCTTCCTTTAGCCTTCTTAGTATCAGCCTCAGCAGGTCTTTGGAAGAAACAGGAATATAAAGCCCTCAGCACACAACGATCGATAATATCAGCTGTAACTGTTATCATCACTGCTATCATCCTACCCACATGCACATGGCCCCACTTCCACATAGCTTTTCAAATGCATTTTATACTTTCTTCACAAATTCTTTGGATTCTCAAATATCTCAGCCACTGCCAAAATATTCAGATTCATTAATGTTGAAAGAGAAGAGAGCTGGTCAGAGCTATGTGGAATAATCATATTATGAGGTAGTAAAAAGACATGAAAGAGAATGAGTTTTTTTTTCCTTTCAAGCTTTAGCAACACCCTCTCTTCCCAGCCAAGCCCCCAACTTGCAATTAGATTATAAGAAATAAAGGATACTGTCCCTATCTATGTGCCAGGTGTGTTATATTTGTGCCAGTTGTGGAAATAAACGTGTACATTTGCACACTATTTTAATATGTGCATGACCAATTTGCTGGATTAGGACTTTTTAAAAATTTATACATGGAAAATAAAACTCCCTATCTTGAAGCCAGTTTTGAGTTATTAATACAAGGTTTTTAGGTTATTATAATACTTCAATATGCATTGCCTACATTTATCCATTTTCATTTGACTGATAAGTTTTAGGCACAGATGTTAAATCACTTTATTATATTCTTAGAGCAAATGAATAGCAGAGAAAGGATTAACATGAGGTCTCCTTACTCCCTGGTCTGTTCAGTATTTGAGGAAAGTATTTACTTTAAATTCTAAATAAGTCTGCATAATTAGAGTGCTATTCAGGATGAGTTAATTCTGTGGTTTCAGGAGAATTAACTAAAAACTGAGGTCCAAATAAACAAGGAAGAAAGTCAGTGTCTTGCTTTTTTGGTGCCATTTCAGACATCTCTTGGCAACTAATGAATGTGAAAGAACCAAATCATGTGTGTATTGGATCGAAATTAATTCTCTAGAAAGTCGGAGAAAAACTGGCTTCTAGATTTTAAAAATGAGATTCAATAGGTCGAAAAATTAACCTAAACTTAATTCTAATTCAATGAAAAATGAGATTTCTGGTATATGAGCATGGCTGCTGTAAACAGATTTTTTTTCTGTTTATTCTTGAATATTGTAAAAAATCAATAAGAAAAAAAAATCTTACCCTCTCCCCTCTCTGACTCAAAGGATTATTTTCATCCAAACATGAGACATACTCTTCAGGGGAAAAATACGCTTAAGAGCGAAATGTTTGAAAGTCATGGATAAAGACATGAAGAGGAGAAATAGAGGAGAAATAATGAGACGTTCCAGAACTGGCAACTCCAAGAAAGTGCGAGCAACACACACACACACACACACACACACACGGGGAGAAGGGTCAGGAGAGTATCTATATTTCAATAATGTTGAAGAAACTTGGGTGAGCAGGGAGGTGGGTTCCAGCACTTTGATTCAGGGAGGGCTGGGTGACCCAAAGAACTACACAGAGAAGTCATATTTGCAGAAAGCAGTCATCCTCTGTGAGAGAAAAAATGAGTCTTCAGATTGTGAAAAACTCTAAAACCTGGAAGACTGTCTGGCCATTCCAGGTCTTGCTTCACGCCAGGAATCGCTTGATACTATCAAGTCCGAGAACATTCAGCACCTCTTTATTCAACTATTAATAATAAAAAAGATGGCTAAAATAGTGATACAAAATAGTATAACTAAAAGGATGGGAAAGAACAGTAAAATTTATAAAATTGGTCACATTAAAGAAAATTGTATTTGATTATTTCTTCTATTATAAAAACCCCATAATTATTGTTGCTAAAATTCGTCTGCATATTCATAAATTGATACTTACTGAATATGGTAAAAGACATCTAGCTCACTCTAAATCCAATTTCATGCTTAAAAGTGAAATCTTCGAGGCACCACGCCTAAAAACAGGAAGTAGACAAGAATTGCTATCTCCAGCATCACTTAGTATTTTGCTTTAATATTTCAGGAATAACTAGTCAAAGCAATTATATATATATATATATATATATATATATATATATATATATAAAAGTTATAAACTGTGAAAGAGGAAATAAATATGTATCATTATTTGCTTATGATATGATTGCACACTGGAAAGCCAAATCAAATCAACTGAAAAAAGAGCTACCACAAACTAAGAAAAAAATTCAATAAGATAACAGGAACTAAGTTATTATACAATAATTATTAGCTTTCATATAAAAAAACACCAACCAGTTAGAGGATTTCATGGAAGAACAGAGTCCATTTACTAGAGCAACAAAGGCTTAAAATAGGAGTGAATGAGCATAAGAAATATTCAAGATCAAATTTAAGAAAACTTTAAAACATTCCCCAAAGACTCCAAGACATAAACGAAGAGACCCATCTTTAGAAATATACAACTTTATAAAAGAATGACAATGTTCACTGCATGTTGATACTTAAAAGACTTTCCAGATCTGTTGTTTGAGAAAAAAAAATACAACAGTAATGAGAAAGTTTATACTATGTCATCATTTGTGGAAATGACAGTCATTACCTGGAGAAGGGGATGGCAGAGAGAGCCACGTAGATGAGGAAAGGTGGGGGGAGACGTTACACGATGCACATTTTCATGTCTTAAATTCCGTATTTTGGGCATGTTGCTTCCATGACTAAACAAATAGATAGGTGCATTTTAACGTGTTATGCTGGCACTCTGATGTTATTCTTTCCCTCTCTCTCCCCCTCCTTCCCCTCGTTTCTCTCTCTGCCTCTGTTTGTCTCTCGCCTTCTCTCTCTCTCTCTCCCAAGATTCCCCACTGTACTAAAAATAGTCTTATAAGGCTCAAATATTTATTGCTTCATTTCTTCTGAGACACAGCTTTTCGTTTTCTCCAAGTGTTTTGTACGTAAATTTGTCCTTAAAATAAAGTTTATTTTAACAACCAACTTCCTCAAAGATGTTCAAGAATTACTGAAACATTTCCAAGAAATTATGGAATTTTGGGATGGGTATGCTTTTAGATAGGTAAGCTAAATAAAAATGTGCCTCCTTTTCCAATCTCCGTTTATTTTGTACTCCTAGATCAAAGTAATCTGATTTATGAATTTCAGGAAAAGCTAGGAAGTTTTAAACTACTTAGAGCATTCCCAACACGCATTTGTGATTTTGAAAGGATAAATTACTATTTCCCTTTGAGATCTTGAATTCTTGCCTTTCACTTTCATAAATAAAATTTTGCCTCATTAAGGTAGTATAAACCATTGAAAAAAAGCTGTATGTAAGTCTCACACATATCCATTCAACTCTAATTTGATTGACTTTACCAATCGTCAATAGCTACTAACACCACTACTTTAAAATTTTCTTTTCTATATTTTACCTGCAAAATAATAAGCCATTCTCATTAAATTTAAGTGCTTACTTATAGATCATTAAACCTCTTAAAGAAAGATTCCTCTGGTGAGCCTCCCTATAAAATAAAAAATTCCTTATAATGTGAAATACTATCTCCTAGTTTATGGTTTTGGATTTTTATATTTTGGGCTCTCCAAGCCAAGTACTTATATATGTTTAAGGGGGAAATTTGATCCCTTGCTGTGTTTTAGTAATTAATATATAGATGGTATGTAACTTTTTTGGAAAATCTGAAGAGCTTTTACAAATGTCATCGAAAGAAGCCCTGTAGGATTATCCTTTCTCAAAACAAAATCTATTCCACCAGAATAATATGGTACAATATATTTTCTTAAAGAAAATACAAGAAATGAGATTAGCTGCAAAGCTAGCAGCTATTATTTCTCATCTGAAGTATAATATTTAAATAAACTCCCTAATTTCAGTATTTATAAACTAAAGTTTTTGAAAGATCCTTTGGCCAATATTTTGTGACCCAGAATGCCATTCAAAAATTAACAAGGAGGATTATGGGATAGTAGAAAAACACCTAGGACCAAGCAGAAAACTAAGTTTCTAGTGTCATTCCTGGCACTAAGATACCTAGGAACCTTGATTAAATGTTTTAATTTCCATAAATCCATGACTCACCCTCTCTAAAACCTGTGGTCTACACAACAGGAAGACCATTTTTATTTGAACTGTATTTAAATATAGAGCTAATCCTTGGGTTTATAGGCTCATCTATAAAACCTATGATACAATAAACCTCTCCAGGTTAACATAAGGTTTAAATGGGGGTATGAAAAGCTTTGGATACTCACAAATGCAACTCAGCAGTAAAGTCCTTGTAGCACAAGTCTTATCAAATTGTACTTACTGAAATCTAGAGAATTTGTTCCTCTAGTTGTGGACAACTCAAGCATAGGAAATTGTTTTCATTACCCATATATCTCTGTGCTTAGCATCATGTTCAACATGTTGAGTGAATAAATGAGTTAATTTGATTTCATCATTAATTATATAACAAGAATTTTAGGTGGTTTGATTAATCGAGACATCCTTTTTTTAATTTAAATTTTCATTTTTATAGCAGTAACATTGGATTATAACATTATATAACTTTCAGATGTGTATTATAATATATTTCAAATTCTGTGCAGATTACATCATGTTTACCATCCAAAGACTAATTATAATCCATCACCACACGTGTGCCTAATCACCCCTTTCGCCCTCCTCCCTCCCCACTTCTCCGCTGGTAGCCATCACTCCAGTCTCTGTTGCTATGTGTGTGTTTGTCGTTGTTTTTATCTTCTACTTATGAGTGAGATCATACGGTATTTGACGTTCTTCCTCTGACTTACTTCACTTAGCATAATACCTCAAGGTCCATCCATGTTGTCACAAATGGCCGGATTTCATCACTTCTTATGGCTGAGTAGTGTTCCATTGTGCATGTATACCACATCTTCTTTATTCATTAGTCCCTTGATGGGCACTTAGGTTGCTTCCAAGCCTTGGTGATTGTGAATAATGCTGTGATGAACAGAGGAGTGCATGTATGTTTATGCATTTCTGTTTTCAAGTTCTTTGGATAAATATCCAGCAGTGGAATAGCTGGATCATATGGTAGATCTGTTCTTAATTTTCTGAGGAAACTCTATCCTGTTTTCCATAGTGATTGCATCAGTTTGCACTCACACCAGCAGTGTATGAGGGTTCCCTTCTCTCCACATCCTCTCCAAGACTTCTTGTTTCCTGCCTTGTTAATTATAGCTAACGGAGACATTCTATTCTTATTCTATTGTCTAGTGAGTAGCAAGAATATTAAGGAATCAAGTATTATCCAATGGAAACAAATATGTCTCTGACTACTGTGATTTATGTAGATTTTGAACCATTTTGAAATGTACGTTATTTTGGGGAAAAGAAGATAGTATAGTATATTTCATATGTGTGCAGATTTTAATTTTATCTAAAACAAAGTAGCTAAATGTAGTTACTCTCACAATGCTGTACCCTTCTGTACTGAGTTAAAATTATCCCATCTCTTTTAAACACAATGAAAATGAACTTTGTATTAAAGTCCAGAGTCACTATATCCTGCTTCCATTAGGACTCTTTAGGATTGCTGATTCTTCAGGATTATGCTCTGAATGTGGTAGAATCTTCCAAATCACATCTAATACTTGTAAAAGTTTGTTCTCCTTCCTGGAAGAACCCTGGACTACAGGGTGTACAAGCCAAAGAGAATGTGAGTAATGGGCGCAATATCTCATTGCTATCCTCAAGGGAAAAGAAAATCTTCCTAATTTGAATATGATAAATTAGCTCATTTTCACAGAACGAAAATATTGGCAGTCTGCAGTCAGGAAAACGACATGAACTTGAACCCAACTACTTGAATCTTTCAGAAACACTTATTTTCTTCAACCTCTTAACACACTCATAAATGCTGCTAGCATGGTACTACTTTAGAAATCTCAGCAAAAAAAGAAAAAAAAAAGATTTGTCCTTTGTTAAACTCAATGACCTGATGTACTCTATTTTATGTGGCCAGCTGATCTTCTCAGATCTAAACTCAGTGGGGTTTCAGCCGAGAGTGTTAAGGGATCATCTCTCTTTACGTTTGGCTTTACAAGAAAGTCAGAGACAGCTGGGTAGTGTCTTGCACACAATATTTATGTCTATTCAACAATGGACAGAGGTCAGCTTTCTACATGGATACTTATACATCTGACTTGTAAACCGAACACCATTAAAACCTATTTGAGTGCATTAGTGGAAATGGAATCTATTATATGGTCTCATGGGAAATCCGCTTGGAAGTAATAGAGTCTTATGTAGAGGACTACTTTTAAAGACATTTCAGGCAATTTTCATGCCATGCCTTAACCTCATTCTCACTGGCTAACTGGGGGTAACCCAATTACAATACCTGTGATACCCAAGATTAAGAGCCAGAATTGGGATAGATCTCCTCCCAGACAAAGTCTGGCTGAACTCATGAGAGCTCATCACCATTTCTGAAAACACAAAGTTTAACATCGTAGGGCAGGGAAGTATATGGAATAAAACTTATCCTATGAACTCAGACGCTAAAGAGGATTACTACACAAAATGTCCATTTTGTACCTGTAGGATCTATGCCTTTGCAGGATGGGATAAATTTTATTTAGTCTAAAATAAATGCTTAACATTATAAATTTTATGAAAAAAGGGAAGAAAATTTAAAATAATAATAGATTTAGTCATTTGCTTAGATAATGGCCAGGTATCTAGGTCTTTTTTTATCACATGTTTTTGTGATTCTGATGAAAATGCCCCACGACTATATACATTTAACAATAATCAAAATAATTTTGATAGTTCTTGTAAGAATCTAGTATCTAAGTACAAAATATGCTTTAGAATCCAAAAAAGCCATATCTGAGCCTGTAAGCTATTCATTCAAATGCGTTCTCCTTGCCAACCCAGAACAAACTTCACCGCGGCAGGTGATTATTCCTGTTTATACAGATGTGTAAAGGAAGGCTTTCAGGCCTCGCCTAGGGAAGCTGACTAAACCCCCAGTCTGAGAGAATTAGAAGGCCATTCTTTTTACACTGTACACTGTTATAGCAGGACTATTAAACATGGATGAGTGAATCATTTTTGTAGTATTGAAGACGATAAAAAGAAAAATCTATCTGCACTTAAGTGAGGCTCCACAATTTGGCATTTTCCTATAAGATCTCCTTTTGGGAAAAAGAAAACAAAAGAAAATATGCGTGCTCCAGAAAACTTTGCATGATTTTTATGAAAATTACCATCCTCTCACAGAAAAATATTTGACTCTGCAGTTGTAAGAATAGGAATTTCAGCTGGGAAATCACTACCCACATAGAAGTCATTTTTGAAAAGCTACATCCAAATTATGTTTCAGCATATTTATCATCTAGATCAAGATAACTGCTGATTACATGAAAAGCTAATAATGATCATTAAAATATGATAACATTTTATTTTTTATTCCACATTAGGTATACTTTAAATTAAAATAGGGCTGGAATATATAAATAATAGATTCAAATATAATATTCACATTACCTATAAGAAGCTGACAATCCATCTGCATAAGAAATAAATACCACTACACTGGGATACTTGGTCTTAATATCTACGTATTTATACATACGTATATATGAAATTCTATCACAGAAGTTAGAACTGACATAATACATTATGTGATATTATTTGAAAAAATAAATGTAAGTTTTGCACAAAGACTTAACTGTATTTCTTAGCTAACATTATTGAACACTATTCTAAAACAAAATAACTAGATACAATTAATCAGTAATCAGTTTCACATTCTGAGCACGTTTTTTTGTTTTGTTTTGCAGGGGAAGATTTGCCCTAGGCTAACATCTGTGCTAATCTTCCTCCTTTCTCTTCCTTGCTCCCCCAACAAAGCCCCAGTCCATAGCTGTGTACACTTCTGAATTCTTCTGGTTCTTCTATGTGAGCTGCTGCCACAGCATGGCTACGGACAGACGAGTGGTGTGGTTCAGAGCCCGGGAACCAAATGTGGGCTGCCGAAACAAAGCAAGCCAAACTTTAACCACTAGGCCATCAGGGCTGGCTCAGTACATTTTTAAAGCTAAGATGCAGACTACAGCCTTGTAGTAGGAGTCAAGTTTACATACGCATGTTGGATAAAAGCTGCATATGTAACTTTGAAATCTGACAGTTGTATACTTTATGGTGAAAACCCTAAATATAACATGAATGTAAAAATAATCCTTCAGATTAAAAAAGATAAGATGATTACTGATGCAGAAATGAACACGGTCTCTAAAACTTAAGCCCATAAAATTTTGGATGAAAGAAAACTGTTGAAAGAACATACATTTTGAATATCTGCATTTACTATTTTAAGCATAAAAAAGGAAATCTGGTTTTTGCAACTTGCAATTCTGACTTTTCAAAGTTAATGTATATCTGCAAATTGTTTTCATTTTACAAAAGTAACATTACAAACATCAAGAATGAAGGTACAAATCAAAGAATAAAGATAAAAAGATTAATTTGAAGAATCATTACAGGCTCTTTAGTGTCTTGAGTAAACGTTCTCACTGCATAGTTCCATGAGTGACCAAGAGTTGTTTATTTACATTCCCTCCATACCGTCTCCCCCTGAATATTAGAGTTGTCAGTATTATTAAGTTCTAGGACATCCAAGCTAATCATCATGGTGATGGTGCTGATGATGTTTGCCTATGAAACTACTATAATATAAGCTAAATACAGTATTTATTGCTGTTTTCCATTATATATTTTTTAACTAGATCAGAAAACACATAGTTATGTGATCTCATACAAAGGCACATTGTGCAGAGATTTTCATTTTATGTTTCTCATTTTCAGTATGTTTCTAGCAATAGCTAATGAACCAAACACCTTATATTTCAGAAGCAATTTGGTGAGATTTCCACTTCTCTAAAGAAGCCTCCTGAAATGGACACAGCCGAGTCTTTTATGTTTTGTATTGTCATAGAAATTATAACCTTGCTTTTGGTATCCAAGAAGAAAATCTCCATTTATCTAAAATAATAGAGCAACAATTTGCCCTGGATTATTTAACATTTGAAAAAATTGAATTATCATAGATTTTGCATTGTATTTTATTCTAAGTGGTTGATTGGAAGCAAGTGTAACTTTCAAGATGTTGCTAAGAGAGTTTCCAGTCCTACTTTCATTCCCAACAATCTTCAGACTGTGGTTGTGGAACTGGGTTTATGTTGTGGGAAGGTTCTGTGAACACTCACTCATGGGCTAAAACCACCCACGGCAGTCTTTACTGAGAAGGAATGACAATTGAGAGTAAACTTTGACATCACAAACCAAGTCATAGGAGTTTCCTTGTAAAAGGTTTTGTCTCTTTCTGTGTTGGTTCATATCGTTGTAAGTTCGAGGCACTGACAAATGACTTGCAATACACAGAATGCATGTCTAATACACAGCAAGAGCAAAGATGAGAACCCATTGCAGATAATCAAGATATCATCTGGGCCAGACATTTGTGTCCAGATGGACCGATACCGAAAGCTGTTCTGTATAAAAGTTGGTTTCCAGCTATAGCTTCATCACTCATAT